CCTTCAGTTTGGGACAAAGCCCGGGGGAGAGCACATTAAATTAACCCGAAACACGGAAATGCCTGCCAGTTAAAAAGTTCTTAAGGAAGGATGGTAGATTGCCTCGAAGGCCTAAGGAGTGGGCTTGGGCTAAAATATTATTCCTCCAAGTTGTGTCATATGCTTCTCAAAGGTCAAAAAAATATTGGCAATAACTGAGGGTTTTTTCGCAAAGGCATTACGAACATACGTATCCAAGCGCAGTAAGGGGTCTATGGTAGAACGTCCCTTACGAAACCATATTGACGAGTGGAGAGACTGTTGTGTGTCTCTAAATACCACACAAACGTCTATTTACTAGACGTTCCATTACTTTGCAAACTGCACTGGTAAGAGCAATGGGACGATAGTGGGAGGTTTCATGTCCCGTATTTGCCTGGTTTTGCGGAAGGGAGAACAATGGCGGTTTTCCACAGCTGGGGAAAAGAACTCCTTGTGACCAAATAAGATTGTAAAGGCGTAATAGGACTGCAAGGCTGACTGATGTAAATGTTGTAGCATACGAATATGAATTCGTCGGGCCCACGTCCGATGATCGACAAGCTGAGAGTGTTGCCCAGTTCTTGAAGTGTAAAAGGCACATTATACTGTTCTTCTCTGAGAGAAGAAAATCCAAGGGTGCTAACTCTCTGGGAGACTTTGAGGAAAGAAATGAGGGGCATAGTGGAGTCCCCCGAGAAATACGGACCAGATGATTGCCAATTTTATTGGCAACATCTATTTGGGGTTTTCTATATCAACACCGGCAACCCGCAGAACAGGAGCCGGGTCAGGAGAATATTTACCACTCAGTTTTCGTACTTTTTTCCAGACTGCACTCATAGAGGAAGCAGAGGTGATGGTGGAGACATAACTCGCCAGCAAGTGGTTTAGCGTCACGGATGACACGGCGAGCAATCGCCGTTTCTGTTTAAAATCAAGGAGTCGCTCTGTGGTTCTATTTGTACCGGTAAACCCGCCCCATGCAGCGCGTTTCAAACGTACTGCACGAGCACAAGCAGGAGACCACCAAGGCACGCATTTCTGAGAATGCCTGCCCGAAGTTTGGGGTATGAATGAGAAGCTGCGGTGAAAACGGAGGACGAGAAGAGGTGTAAAAGCTCATCGATGGAGGACGAAGAAGGGAAACCCCTTTAAAAACAGTCAGGTGTGAGTAAAGGTTCCAATTTGCCCGATTAAATTTCAGCGTGGGGTGCAAGAGGTGGCGTATATGAAGGGGAAGTAAGAATGATTGGGAAATGATCACTGTCATGTAAGTCCGGGAGAACAGACCAAGTAAAGTCTAATGCGGCGAGGAAGAGCAAACTGAGAGATCGATGCAAGAGAGAGTATGAGTCCGAGGATCAAAATGGTGTGAGTACCTGTATTTAAAACATGGAGGGGGGGGTGGCAAGAAAAGCCTCTAACTGAATTCCACGGAATCACAGTGAGACCCTCCCCAGAGGAAATGGTGGGCATTAAAATCACCAAGTAACAGAATCCGTGGCGGTAATGACGAAAAAAGGAAGGCAAAATCCGGAATAATAATGCCCGAGAAGGAGAGAGATATAAAGAACAGAGCGTATACCACCTATGTAGTGGATACGGGCTGCTGTGTAATGCAGCGAAGTATGAATAAATAGCTGAGGTAACGGAATATCAGTGCGGAGAAGAAGGGCACTTTCATTAAAGGTCCCATCAGGAAAAGGATCTGAAGAATACAATAAATTATAGCCTGAGATGTGAGAAATAACAGCAGAGTGTAATTTTGGTTCCTGTAAGCAAACACCAACGGGGCAAAAATGGAGAGTAACATCTGAAAGCTCACCCCGATTACCCCTGAGGCCGGTATATTCCACTGTAAAAAGGCCATGATTGGCAATGATAAAGATTTCTTGAAATCCGCAGGTAAGGGTTTTCCCACGGACTAGAAGGGTTTTGAAAAATCCACATGCGGAGGCAGTGGAAAATGTTTCAAGCAGCGAAGGAACGGGGCGCTGTGAAGAAAGGAGTTGCGCCCGATGGAGCAGAGGAGAGAGAAAGAGCGGGAAGGTGGATCAGTGTCCATTGAAGGTTTGGTCTCTGCAATATATTCAGAGATTGCTTCAAGTGTTTCGGAATTCAGAGATGCGTATGGGAGACAATATTGGGAATGGTAGGGGGGGGATGAGTAAAGATTGGAACTGTATTGGGACTGTACCAAGTAGGGGGGGGCGAAAGGGGTGGGGGGGGGGAACTGGAGGAAGCGTGGCAGGGGACAGAAGAGACAGGAACCTGGGAGGTGGCAGAAGAGGAAGGAACTTGGGAGGGAACAGGGGAGGGAAAGGGACATTACGAGGAGGAGGGGGAACCTCTGCACTTGTAACTGAGCCAGGAGAGGGGGAAAAACTAGGGACAGAGACAGGGGGTAAAATGAGGAGGTGGAAGATGGGTAGGAGGTGTTACCGGACCTTTTTTTGACTTTTTAGAAGTAGGGGACGATTGGGAAGAGGTTCGTACGAGGTCCCCGTCGATACGGAGGCTTGTAAGAGAGAAACTCGAAGAAGCGAGATTAGACTGAGGCGTTGAAGTAGGGAAGTCTGAGCCGAGGACCCGCAAAAGGATTAGATACGGAGTGATTATGGGAGAGGTAACCACAGAGGTGGGTGTAGAAAATGGATACCGGGAAATGGGGGACGTTTGAAACACGGGAATAAGAAACACGTGGGGGGTCTCCTTGGGGCGCGAGAAGAGAAACTGCCATGGCATAAAGGGAGACCTCTGTCTCTTTGAGGTAACGGATTTCCGCTCGTTTAAATAGCCTGACAGCGGCGAGAGTAGAAGGGTGACTCCCTGACAGTTAAGGCAAGAGGGGGATCGATTGCAACGTATTAGAATGGTCAATCGGCACCACAGACTGGGCATTCGGCGATAGATCTGCAATATTTCGCTGGATGGCCAATCGCCCGCAATTTCTACACTGTTGTGGTGTAGGGATCACCTTTCGAACTTGTAACCGATGTCCTGCTATATAAACGGAGGATGGGAGTTCTCGGCTGTCAAAAATTAAAACGAGCCACATTGCTAGGGGATCGTCTCCGCCCACGGGCAGGAAGAACGTAAGTGTCTACCTTGAGGATTGGAGATCTTGGAGTTCCAGCTGTTCTAGAATGTCGGTGCCACATGTCCCGGAATTTTGTTGAACTATGGTATGGGGCAGAATAACGGTACCACTACAAGAATTTAGGGAATGATGTTTTTCAAGGGTGACAGGAACAGTATCTATATGGGAAGACGAGAGAGCTCACGAGCCTGGGTTCATTCTGTACGGTAATGATGCGCGTACCGCTCTTTTAAGAGCATGAAAAGAAAAATCTTTACCAACATGGCGTAGGAGTTTCCTTGCCAATCTATGGTCAGAAAGATAGGCAGTAGAGGAAGTTGGTCGTAAAGTTTAAGAATTTAGTCCACTGTTCAAATCTGAAACTGAGCGTGGAAAGGTATGATGAAGGGCGTGTCGATCGTTTCTGAGAAGAACGAGAAGGGTGAAGGTGGAGAAGTATCATCGCAGGTAATTGTCGTTGACGTTTAGGGGGTGGACCAGAGTTGGTCCGACGTGGAAAGGGGTCGGCGATTTTAAAATTGCCGCACCGTAGAGGGAGAGGCCGGAAGCATAGTCAGAGAGAGCGAAGGTCTGATAAATCGAAGGAGTCAGTCGAGGCCTCAAATACCTGAAGGGGTGAGGAAACAGCACCGGGAATAGGGACAGAGGCAGAGGAATGTCTGAAGAGTGGTCCAAAGACAGGCGGGGTTCAGAACGGGGTGCGGTATCAAGAAGGGGCCCGGGGGGACCAGGTTCATGGACTAGGGCTGCCATGGTTAGGTTACTTCTTTCTTTTTGTTTTAAGAAAAAAAAGAAAGAAGAAAAGAAAATAAAAATAAAAAAAAAAGAAAAAAAAAGGGGGACCGGGGAGGGATAGTTCCTAGGAGGAATGAAAGGCAGAAATCTCCCTCCGCGCCCAAAAAGGACTCGACACCGCTAGTAACGCAGATGCAGCATGGACCCGTGCCATACCCTACCCTTCATCCAGTAAAACCCGCAATCTGGGGTAGCAACCTCACATCTGCCCAGCTACCTCGGTGGACAAAAAGGGGCGGCCGGATATCCGCCACAAAAACATACCTCCTTTAGCCACCACCCCCCGGAATCCGAAAGGTGGCTTCCCCGAGATACACCCGTCGCCAAAAGGGCCCCAAAGCTAACTCCGGGATACCGGGGAGGGATCGGGACATCCCTAGGCAATCCAGATTCCACGGGCAAACTACGCCCCCGCCAAGAAAACCCCAACGGAATGGGATGGACCCCGGTGTCCTTTCCCCTACCTAGGAACTAGCGCGCCTGTGGGAGAAATCACGAAGGCTAAAAAGAGGAAGGGCAAAAGGGAGGGGTGAGGAGGAGGAGGAGGAAAGGAAAAAGGGGAGGATGGGGAGGATGGGATAGGGGAGGGGAGAATGGGGGGTAATTAGGTTCGGTCTGAGGAAGAAGACCGACAGGGCTAATTCCTCAGACCAAGAGCCTCTTCACCACGCCAAGGAGCCCCCCTTGAAGAGGATATGAAATAAAGATAGATTAAATATTATAATTATGATGGTGCTGTATGATGATACTAAAGTGCTCTGGAGGTGTACCACCATAATTATAATGGTGTTGTATGATGTTACTAAAGTGTCCTGGAGGTGTACCACCATAATTATAATGGTGTTGTATGATGTTACTAAGTGTCCTGGAGGTGTACCACCATAATTTGAGGTGTTGTATGATGTTACTAAAGTGTCCTGGAGGTGTACCACCATAATTATAATGGTGTTGTATGATGTTACTAAAGTGTCCTGGAGGTGTACCACCATAATTATAATGGTGTTGTATGATGTTACTAAAGTGTCCTGGAGGTGTACCACCATAATTATAATGGTGTTGTATGATGTTACTAAAGTGTCCTGGAGTGTACCACCATAATTATAATGGTGTTGTATGATGTTACTAAAGTGTCCTGGAGGTGTACCACCATAATTATAATGGTGTTGTATGATGATACTAAAGTGTTCTGGAGGTGTACCACCATAATTATAATGGTGTTGTATGTTACTAAAGTGTCCTGGAGGTGTACCACCATAATTATAATGGTGTTGTATGATGATACTAAAGTGTCCTGGAGGTTTGTAGATGAATGGTTCAGAGAACCGACATGTTGATAAATTAGACACATGGCCAACTCTTGGGTATGTGGCGAAACGTTTCCTCAATAAAGATACCCAAGAGTTGCACATGTGTCTAATTTGTCCTGGAGGTGTACCACCATAATTATGATGGTGTTGTATGATGTTACTAAAGTGTCCTGGAGGTGTACCACCATAATTATGATGGTGTTGTATGATGTTACTAAAGTGTCCTGGAGGTGTACCACCATAATTATGATGGTGTTGTATGATGTTACTAAAGTGTCCTGGAGGTGTTCCACCATAACAGAATTAATATTTGATGTGTTGTTTAAGATCCAAGGTAAATTAACTAAACATTAATAAAACAGGTGAAGAAGTCTGTCTTGGCCATTATAAGCTGAATCTCTCATAATAGGGTTATTTTTTACAAAAAGAAGATTGAATCAATTTCTTTCTTGAAGTTAGACGGTTCTGATTACTTCCGTTTATAAATTACATTATTTTAACTTAAATGTTGGTCGGTCGGTCGGTCGGTCCATTAGTAAATTATTATATAAAAAATATAAAAATGTGAGATATAATACCGGAAAATTTGTGAAATCAAAAATTTAAAAACTAAATTAGTAAAATTATTTAAACTCAATAAATTTGAGAAAAAATATTTCAGAATGAAAATTTTTTATCACAAGTTATTCTTTAACTGAATAAATTTCTGGAAAATATCCCCCGCGGCGGTCTTACCATCCTGATATATACCTTTTGCTGTGTCGAAAAACCGGGGCACGTTATCAGAACTTGATTTGGGTTGCTTGTCATATTGTAATTCAATTTAATTTCCATGTTGAGGACCCCCCAAACCTAAAGTGCTCTGGGCCCCCCCCAAGGTCTAAATCCTGCCCAGGTGAATGTGGGTTGATTATGGGTTCGATTTCAGGGAGCACACTCGTCGTTGTTTCAGTCAGTTATGACTGATTCTGTGGAGAAAATCCCCTTCTCATCTGCCTCACAAATTAGGTCAATAAATCTCGTGTTCATAATTTCATTCTGACCAGAACGTAGTTCCTTAAGTATGATCTTATATATGTAGAGAAACATGTTTTTAGTGAGGAACTCTCCAATTGGCTTTTCAAATAAAGGAAGGAATAGCTTCACCATTCCTAGCTTTATACCATCAACAACCACTTTGACTGGTAAGAGAAAAGGCTTGTCTAGGCATGAAGGCTGTGGTGCTTTGTTGACATTAATACTGGTGTTCAGTGTTCCTAAACTCATAGTACTGCCGAAGAAGAACCCTACAGTGTAAGTCCTGTCCCAGTCTAGTTTAAATTGTTCGTAGCTCCAGTTGGCAGCAGGTGAGCCCAGCTTAGCAGTAAGCTTAGTGAAGGTAGAATGGTAGAGGCGCAGCAGGTGATCTAGATGAGCGTTCCTGACGGTGCGAGTAGTGGACGTGTAGAGGAGAAACTGTAGATCAAACACCGGATTGCCCCAAGTACTGTTACCCCAGTCAATGATTTTTAATGCATCGATTTCTTGATGGCTTTCATGGGCGTGGGAGACCCTCTGGCTTGCAGGTGCCTTTGAGATGTTGTGGCCGTCCTGTGAGTCCTTGTGAGTTGCCCATGACTGTTCATGGCTTGCAAGTGTTTGTGAGTCCTTATGACTTGCTGGAGAGTCATGTTGGCTTGTCTGCGAGTCCTCATTGTTTGCCTGCGAGTCCACATGGCTTGTCCGTGCCAATGGGCTCTTATATCTATACATTATATTATTAATCCAACAATCTCCATGATTTAAACACGTGATACTTTCTCCATCCAGCAGTATTGCTGAATATTTATCTAATAAACTCTGTTTACATGCTTCGAGTCTCTGTGTGACATCCTTCTGTCGTTCAGAGTCCTAAGAAATGCAATGGCAATATCTAGCATAGCATCTAATACTGGTTTAAGAAACTTGAGGTGCTCCGAAGTGGACTGAAAGCAAGGGTATTTATTACGGAAATCTTTCTCCCTATAGAACGCATGTGAAAGGGCGTGAAGTCTGGCAATGTGTTCTATACAGACCTTAAGAGCCAAAATCCGGGCCCCTTACCTTGTCAACAGTGTTGTATCCCGGGATTTTAATTTTTTTCCATTAAAAACATTTTCATTACCAGCACAGCGTCCATAGATTAAATGTGGAATGGATATTCCAGGCTCGTCAGGGCTCTGTCTGCCTGGAACTGGTGAGCTCTTTAAATTTTATCTTTGTATATATCAAGTGTTCCTTCGGGCCCGGGAATTCATCCTTTTGTTTAACTCGCGAGTCATTATATAAACTGTAGAACTTTGCCGCCAAGTGGAAGGGGGGACGGTAAACTGTCTGGTGAGGCAGGTGAAAACTGTCTGGTGAGGCAGGTGAACTGTTGGGGGAGGCAGGTGAACTGTCTGGTGAGGCAGGTGAACTGTCTGGTGAGGCAGGTGAACTGTCTGGTGAGGCAGGTGAACTGTCTGGTGAGGCAGGTGAACCATCTTGCAACACAGGTGAAGCACCTTGCGACGCAGGTGAACCATCTTCCTTCACCTTCACCCAGACGTCCAGCAACACCAACTCAGACTGCAAGGAATCACCTGGAGCAGCACCTGTAATAAAACAAAATGGTACATAAATAGTCTCATCCTAGTCGAGCCTCTCCATTACTCCACAAAATCAGGAAACAATTTTAATGTGTATCAAACAACTAAATTATTACACACCAGTTCTAAAAATAAATTTCGAAATTTAGATGATGAGCAATTACAACAGTTGAAATTAAAAAATAACCGATTGTTCGTATTTTATTAGGTTAATTATGGGTCTAGAGCTTAAATATTATAAAAAAATTATCAGATTAAACAAGTGACAACGCTGGGAGACTTACTGCAGTGTGAAAGTGATAATGATAAACAATACAGATAAATATGAGTGTGTGCAACACTAGGTTAAATGTTTCATAACAGAATTATCCAAGACTTCTGTGAAGGGTTATAACCTATTCTGTTGTGACAGACTTAACAGGCAACAATAGGGGGTTGGCCTGTATGTCACATTGTCGCTCATTTGCACAGAATTACTAAACACCTCAAATGATGTAGTTGAAGTTTTGGCGGTAAAGATCAAAAATCAAAACCTTGCCAGAGTGGTAGTATACAAGCCTCCAGATGCAACTTCTCGGCAATTCCAGGAGCAGCTTGAGAAAATTGACCACTGTCTGGAAAAATCTCCCAACTTCTGCTTCAGACATCTTACTACTAGGAGATTTCAACTTCAGACACCTAAAATGGAGGTGTATAGAAAACAATGTTGTAGCAGAGATCACTCCGGGAGGCAGCTCAAATGAAAATTCACATACACATAAACTATTAAATCTCTGCAACAAATTCACCTTAAACCAGCAAATAGTAGAGCCTACAAGACTAGAAAATTTGCTGGACCTCATCTTCACTAACAATGATCTAATATGTAATATAACTGTATCAAAGACAATTCACTCAGATCACAACGTAATAGAGGTACAGACATGTATACACAGTGCTCCTGACCAGCAAAATGTGAGCAGTCATGAAGGTCTCTTCAATTTCAATAACAAAAACATACAATGGGATCAAGTAAACCATGTCCTAAATGAAACAAGTTGGGAAGATATACTAAACAACACCGACCTGAACATCTGTCTTGAAAAAATGAATTCTGTGGTTCTTGAGATCTGCTCAAGACACAGTCCATTAAGAAAAAGAAAGAGATGTAAACTAGGAAGAGAGAGACGTTCCCTATACAGACGAAGGTGAAGAGTCACAGAGCTGCTGAGTGGGGTTCAGTATATCTGAAATATGAAGGGAGGCACTAGTCAATGAAATTGCAAATATTAAATTTAAGCTGAAGGAATCATATAGGGGACAAGAATCATAGGAAGAACTAAAAGCCATAAAGGAAATTGAAAAAAAAAAATACAGTGGAACCCCGACCTACGATCTTTGAGAGGGTTCTAAGCAGCAAGATAGCCAACCACCTAGATACCCATCAGTTACACAACCCACGACAACACGGGTTTAGAGCAGGTTGTTCCTGCCTGTCCCAGCTACTGGACCACTATGACAAGGTCCTGGATGCTGCAGAGGATAAACAAAATACAGATGTAGTATACACAGACTTTGCAAAAGCTTTCGACAAGTGTGACCATGGTGTAATAGCACACAAATGCGTGATAAAGGAATAATGGGAAAAGTTGGTAGATGGATCTACAACTTCCTGACAAATAGAACACAAAGAGTAATAGTAAACAGAGTAAAGTTCCAGGCAGCCATGGTAAAAAGCTCTGTTCCACAAGGCACAGTACTCTCTCCCATTCTATTCCTCATCCTCATTTCTGACAGACAGAGATGTAAGCCACAGATAGCTCTGTGTCTTCTTTTGCGGATGACACCAGGATCACCATGGCAGTGACCTCCTTCGAAGACACTGCGAGACTCCAAGCGGACATCAACGAAATCTTCGAATGGGCCACTCAAAACAATATGAAGTTCAATGAGGGGAAATTTCAACTACTCAGATACGGAAAGCTTGAAGAAATTAAAAGCGTGTCAGGGTATATTGCAAATTCTAACCATACAATAGAGCGGAAAAGTAATGTGAAGGGCCTGGGAGTGATAATGTCAGAAAATCTGGCCTTCAAAGACCACAACAATGTATCTACCTCATCTGCTAGGAAGAAGATAGGATGGATAATGAGAACCTTCAAAACTAAGGATGCCAAGCCCATGATGATTCTCTTCAAATCGCTTGTGCTCTCTATGCTGGAATACTGCTGTACACTAACGGCCTCCTTCAAGATGGGCAACATTGCAGACCTGGAGAGTGTACAAAGAACTTTCACGCACACATAAGTGTGATAAGGCACCTAAACTACTGGAAGCGGTTGAAGGTCCTTGATCTGTATTCCCTCGAACGCAGGCGAGAGAGATACATGATAATATGCACTTGAAAGGTCCAAACTTGAAAGGTACCAAACTTGAAACACGAAATCACCCCATTTAAAAAGGTGAATTTGTAACTGAAGTATAAGCCTAAAAGACAGGTGCCAAAAGGGCCAGAAACTTACCACACAGGTCGGGCTGTTTTAAAAAACCTTCCTGGCCTCTAGTGTACCTCGCATATAACCCTAGTGATACCAGTAAACAGGAGAATTCAGTGTTTTTGTAGCAACAAACCCCAAAATAAAATGGTACTTAGTGGGGGGGGGGAGCGACTTTCATTAGTTTTTTTCCTCTTTCTTGAAATCCCAAACCCGGA